CAGGAAAAGTCACAGCTGAATTACTAAAGTTCATAGAGCCATCTAAAGGGGTCTTTAAAAGAAATATGCAGTTTAAAAAAAAATTAAAACACAACATAAGAGGACAAGAGTAACGGTTTTTTCCCCTCATAAACCCAACTCTAGATATAACTGCTACACAAATTATGGAGTAAATCGTTAGGCCTAGTGATCCCTTCATACATAGAAAGGCATTTTTACATAAATGGAAACATATGTACATATTGCCCAGTCATCAGCTCTGCTCCTCTACTCCTCCTGTTAAAGTACCATCACAGGTATGCTGCACAAAAATGCACACAGGTCTCACTGATCCTTAAAAAGGAAGAATTCTATCGCATTGCGTTGGTGTACAAGGTTTCTTCAGGCCGTGCCCTAAATAGTGACACTCGGGCTGTTTACATTAATTTCTATACTCTCAACAGTGCGATAGTGATCATCGTTCTGCAGTCATTTTTGCACATTTGTATCATTACTTCCTAAGGACAAGTTTTTGAAGATGGAATTATCAGCTATGCATACATAGCTAACACTCTGTTGACTCGTATCAGATTGTCCTTTAGAAAAAGTGCACAATTTACACCCACCGAGTCTTTAAACACGCACATGCTTGGCCATGTTATTTCTTTAAATAACATCTAGGTTCTGTTGTTCATAGAGTCTCTATGAGTCAGCCCACTTGGCAACACCTAACAACAGCATGTGCAAGAAGCTCTAGCTTTGAAAGAGTTTAGGAACTCAGCTGCCGTACGAAAGGATGGAAGTTCTAATCTGCTACTGGCCTTGCAGGAGAAAGACCTGGGAACATATTTCTGTAAAGATGACCCATTGCCACTGAGCCTGTTCCAACTCACCACAACACTATTAAGACAAAGTAGAACTGCTTTAGAGGATTTCCAAGGCTATAAATCTTTATAAAAGCAAACTGTCCTTTCTCTTGTGAAACACTCCTTGAATTTGAACCATTGACCTTTTGGTTGATAGTTGAGCGTTTAACCACTTTCATTACCAAGGCTCCTTCTCATAAAGATTACAATCTAGAGTATGCTACTAGACCATCTCTACTCTGTCCTCTAGGGTCACTCTATGAGTCAGAATTAATTCAATGACACACAACAACAGCAGCTAAATTCAGAGTTGTACAACTTATCCGAGATTCAATTATTTATTCAAGAAAAAGATAACACATAACTCTACTGATACATGCTACAGAATAGAAACCTTAAATGTATTTGTACACAAACAAAACAAACTAAATGTCTGTGGTAAAGAAACTCCAAGTTACACGGTAGAGTAGGGGACCAGAGTAGAACATTATGGCACTTACGTTTCATTCTATCACCCTCACTCCTGGCTGTCTGCTCTCATCTACTCTCCCATGAAATAACAGGAACACATCCCTAAATTTTAATATTTTACTGACACTTCTCATCAATTCAACCTTAGCTAAGTGCAATGTGAGTGTGAAAAACCCCAGAACCTTTTTGTATACCTTTTGTCATTGTATTGGATAAACTCAAATAAACTGGCTTCCAATATATAGACAATTCCTCAGAAAGGGTTTATTACAGACTACTGAATTCTCGGGAGATCTGGTGACTTAGTGGTAAGGAGTAAACTGCCAACCCAAAGGTATGCAGTTCAAATCCACCAGCTGCTCCCTCGGAGGGGGATGGGCAATCTCCTCCCATGTGATTTACTGTCTCTGAAAACCTGCTAAAGAGTCAGTTATGACCTGGTTCTAACTCAATGGTATGCAACACCATCCCCGCCACTAAATTCTCCATGAGACATGTTTTCAGCAAAGGAAATATAAAGGGACTGAGAGACAAATACGAGTGTCATTATCATGAAAAGTCAGAATTTACTGCAATATCTCATATTCAAATAATTCAGAAGTAATCAAATCCTATCATCATGCATTATTATTAGCAAAATATTTTGTGAATAAGAGATGTAATTTGAAATGTTTAATTGAAGCTAAATTTTAAAATTAGACAAAGATCAGTAACTTTTTTGTTTTTCCTTTGCACCCTCATTTTTAATATTTATTCACTCACTCTTTAAAAATATTTCACTAAAGCCTATTTGAGGTTGGAGGATGCTCATTCGTAGTGACCACTTGGATTCACTAGAGTGGAAGTGGGAGGAAGACAACACAGGAAATACAGGCTGAGCTTGGGCATGTCCTTTCAGTGATGTCCACCTAGCATGCACTGTTGCGTAGATGGACAAGGAAGGTTGTTGATTTGAGGAGCAGGAAGTAATGAGGGCCCCTGGGTGGTTGACTGGACTTGGCCCCACATGGGGGGACAGGGCTGAGTGAGGAGAGTGCTCTGGAGTGCAGGGAGAAGTGGGCTTGCACTGATGCAGCTGATGCCCATTTGAACCTAGCCATGAAAGGCTGGGGAGGAGGTGAGCAGAAGCCCAATCAGATGAAGAATGATCCACACGGGGAGCTAGGGTTGATCGCTGCAACTTAATGGCTTGCTCTGGCCTGGTCTTTGGCTTGTACATGCAGATGCTCGAAGTTTCTAAGTTGAACAGAGGACCCTGCCGCAAAAAGGGGACATGTTTGTGCCCTCACAGCATTGGTATGATAGGGATGGACAAATCAAATTGGCTATCTAAAAGGGGGATATTAAGGCATGAAGAAGCTGGCTTACACATTTCCAGTGATTATTAGCAAGATGACTGTTGTTGTTAAGTACCGTCGAGTCGCAGGCGACTCATAGCGACCCTATGAAGGAGAGTCCTTAACGCTTGGGTGCCTTTCTTCCTCTCTCCAAGTTCATAGGGTTTCCGGAGGTAAGCTATTATGGAAGTGGACGCCACTCCTCCTTCCACAAAATGACTGTAAGAGGGGGGAAAAAACCTCCCATAATATATGAACAAAAGAGAACATAAAGGAAAGACCGTATAAACCACAATGCACATGCATGAAACAAAATGCATATGAATGATAAAAATATTGATAAAAGTATCTTTTCAGGAAAACCTTATTTCTCTTCTGGGCTCAAGACTACACTAAAAGGACTCTTCATTTTTTCATCCTGGAGGTGGCCCCACAAACTGATCAAGTTTCAGTGCAGTAATATTAATAATTAAAAGCAGCTGCTGCTAAATGGGCCCTGACTCACGGTGACCTTCTTCGGGTCTTCCAGTTTGCAAATCCTGAAAGGGAGGAGACTGCCCATCACTCTCCTCTGGAGCAGCCGACAGATTCCAGTTGCCAACTTTCTGGTTAGTAAGCTGATCGGCCACGCACTATGCCGCCAGGGCTCCTTGTCCCCAGTACTACTTGTCAAATAAATTTCAACAATTACTGATTTCCCATGAGGTATAATTTCTCTCCGCTAAACTGTGTTTTGAATAGATCATGAACTGCTTAAGTACAAAGTCTGTCTTGAAAGATGGGCAAGTCCATAACTCTCATTTGAAGTAAAGAGACTGAGGCTTCCTTACACACACTTCTGCTTTAGAATCAGGGCCTGGGTCCTGGAGAAAGACATCCTGCTGTGTCAAGCAGACAGCACAGGACAGGAGAGGGTGGATTCTCAAAGACATGGGTTGACACAGCATCTTCCACAATGAACTCAGGCCCAGCAGTGTAGGTAACAATGGCGTAACACTGGGCAGCGTTTCCTTAGGTTGTCCAAGGGGTGACAGTGGGGTAGAGCTTACTTGATGGCACCTAATGGCAACAATCAAGTTTCTAGGGCAAGATATCTGGTATCTTCCTCACTCACCCTTCCCTCTGCCCCACAAAACACACACACAGCAGTTTTTAATTATCCACACCAGAACAATGTTAATTATTCAAAACTGTTGATAAAAGTGAAAAAAGAAATCATTTCTGGTTTGGCAAAACAGTATGCAGGGTGGAGGAGTTTTGCATGGCAGAAAAGGGATCTTTGTACTTCAAGTTTATCCTGGTTGATTGCAACATTTGCTGTCAGAGTTCTGCATACATTTATTCACTTTCACAACATTGGGAAGAAGATTCCCTTGTGTGAAATGCACAAATAAAAACCCAAAAGCTCCATGAGAATGAATGCCCTCCACGTCCAATGGACCAGTGCCCTGAACATGAACACCTCTGCCCTGAAATGAACATCTTCACCGATTTCAGACCAAAATCCAAGTAATATACCAGTTTGTCAACCTTTAAAAGAAGCCCCCTTAACCAATTAATCCCCTATCTCAAAACCTTATTTCCAGGTTTTTACCAACATGTGTTTTCTCAGTTTTGTGGCACCTACATTTAGGCTAAAGATGAACAGAACTATCTTACAAGAGAACAGATCAATTACATCTTTCATTAAACCAGGTCCTGTGCACTATAGGTTTGTTATGGGAACAATCTGCCAATTCATCAAGCATCTTTCAAACAGTAGTATCTGGAATGTTGCTGTTAAGTGCCGTCAGGTCACCTCCGACCCATGGCGACCCTACGTACAGCACCCTGTCCTGAGCCAGTCTCACGGAATCTGACATCAAAATGTCAGGCATAATTCATTAACAAAAGTAGCCCCTATTTCTACAGCACTACCTCTTTTACAAAATGCTTCCCAAAAACATGGTGTCATTTAATCTGCTCAATCTGAGAGGGATGGTAGTTTCTGTGACATCCACTCTACAGGTGAAGAATCTGGGGCTTAGCAAGTGCAATGTGCTTCAGAGTGATCAATCCGAGCCTGGCAGACAAATCTTTTAGCTTTAAATCCAAAACGCTCTTCTCTTTAGCCCTTAGCTCAGAGCTTTACGATACGAGACGTCACAAATGTGTTTCAATTTTGCTCCAAAGGAGATGCAGTCAATATTTTTCACTTATTATAACTTATAATCGATAAACAGTGCTCATTTAAGCTCAGCTACAAGGTAATTAGTAAAAGCCCTCTCAGCTCTTCTGCATGATTGTAACACAAAATAATCAAAGCTGCAGCTTCACAATCTCCGTAGGTAACAGGATTATTACTTACCTTTGCCATCTCGGCTTCTGCCTGCAATCGCCTGGGGGTTCCTTTTTGGTCCAGCACCTTCTGGATATTTTTGTTTTTAATGGATGGAGATTCAACACCTTCACCTTCAATTTGCAGTTTAAAGCCTTCGGCATGGGCCGGGTGGTCTAGGCGTCGTGGACTCAACCCGCAATGGAGAGCTGGGGAAGAGGAAGAACTGTAATTCAGCAACAGATGTAGGAGGGAGGTGGTGCGCGAGGCTCAAAAGACTCCATCAGGTCTAAAGGGGGACAAACAAGGTGTCTGTGCACTGAAGGGGGTGTGATCACTATGGAAAATCATATGGCAACGCCAGAGCATGACAGAGTGGGAAGCACTGATTTGAAGTAAGTCCGAGGTACAAATGCAGATGCTATCAGTCTCAAGTTCTTGAACTTTGAGAAATTTGCCAATCCCCACTGACAGTGGAGAATACCGTATCAGGAAACTGATCACTACCACCCACACAGACAATTATTTCAACCCATACACTTTGAGCTTGTGTCTCATCTCCATCTGGCACACTGTTCATGCCTGCCCACTTCAAGGACCTCTCTAAAGTGCTACGGAGAAAAGATGCCACTTTAAAGACCACAATGCACCTGTCTCAAGTCACAGGATTTTCCACTTGCCTTATATCCATGTGAAAGTGGACAATGGACAAGGAACACAGGAGGAGAATGGCTGCCTTTGAACTGTGGTGCTGGTGAAGAGTATTGAATTTATTTTCGACTGCCAAAAGAACAAACAAATCTCTCTTGGGAGAAGTGGAGCCAGAAGACTTAGAAGTGATGAGACTGTGGCTCACTTTGCGCATGTGGCCATGAGGGGCGCGTCCTTGAAAAAGAGCACCACACTTGGATGGGTAGAAGGTCAATGAAAGAGAGGAAGGTCTTTAATGAGATAGATAGACACAGTGACTGCAACAATAAACTTAGGCATGGAAGAGGTTGTGAGGGTGGATCGGGCAGAATTTCAATCAGAGTTTAGTTGGCATCACATAAGAGCAACGCCACCCCCTTCTGAGTCTGCTTTACCCTTTAAGCATCTACTAAAGTCCGTATTCTTACATTCATCCTATAGACACTGAGTCCTTACAATGTGTCCTCTCTAGGTCAGATTCTGACAACATGGGTATATCTATAAGACTGATATTGTCTTCACTACTACTGATGTTGAATTAACTATTTAATTTATAAGGGAGGAAGGAAAAGGAACGGGTGATTTTGAAGCATGGTTACCACTGCTATGTAGAAGGCAGAAAAAGATCAGAGTGGAAGGCTCTGTGAAGTCAAGGCCAGGGGATTCCAATCTTTATTTTACTCCGTCAATGGCCTTTAACACAGACACCTTCTAATGCCCTATTTCTGAGAGCATTTATTCACAAAATAAGTACTTATTAAGCCTTGGTATGCATCATCTATAGAAAAAGAAACTCTAGTAAATACTATAGAAATCAAACATCCTGCCTAGATGGCCCCCTAATGTGTCAGGAGTGTGGTGGGGGATGGGTCTTTGGCATTTTCTGGTAGGAAATTATCTCAGTTCCCTACACCTCTAAACTCTTCAAATCCACTTAAAGCGCCTTCCTTCCTCTCTTTGTCATGGTATTAGAGAATAAGGACTCAGGACCTTGTCTTCTTCAGGTCTCAAGTTCATCAATAATCTCATCCTAGTCAACATTATCAGCTTTTCCTTTTCTCAGCATTTTACCGTCCAGTCACCTTCTGCACCTTCAAGGCCCTCCATTCACCACTCCATCCAGGGTATGGTCTGTTCTCAGTAAAGCTCTTGAAAGAATTTGCTTGTTTGCAAACAAGCAAATCCAGACTAAACAGTAAATTATTAATTTTCTATTCAATTAACGGCCTCTGGAAACCTGCTGGAGGGTCAGCTATGAGTCAGTTCTGACTTGACAGTACACAACAAGTGTGGTAGTGGGAGAGGTTCGGAGTTAGTGAATATGACAATTCAACTCCTGACCAGCCAAGGGCCCTGGTTGATTTCATCTTTCTATGCTCCTCTCCACAATATCAGCTCTATTGGAAACGTGTGTTTCCATGTAGCATGCAAAGTTACAGGTTTCTGGTTCTCAGCACGCAATAGAGCTTAGTTGACCACAGTGTTCCTCTCCTTTTATTAGGCAGAATTACATGCCAATTCCTGAGTCCAGATCCAGACAGTGGAAATAGAATTACTCTTCCATCACATGACCTTCGGCTAAGGTTCATTTTGCAAACCACATTCCAGCTTTCCAACGGCACAGGGGCAGAATAGTTAAGGAATCGATCACAATACCTCACATCAGGCAGTGGAGAAATGAACAGTCAGATCTTGTAAAAGCAAGAGAAGAATTACTCTTAATACCATTCCATTTTGCCATGTCCCTCATTCTACTGATAATATCTACCTAATTTGATGGAATCACAGGATGGTGTAAAGAGCTAATACATTTGGTTGCTAACAGAAAGGTTGGTGGATTGATCCACCCAGATTTTGTCTGGGAATCGACTTTCAAATAAATCAACCCCTGAAAATCTTCTAGGGTACAGTACTACTAGTACATGGGCCCACCAGGAGTCAGAATTGGAAGAATTGGAAGCAACTGGTTTTGTGTCTAGCACCCAACTGCTGTTTCTATCTCGCCACAATAGGTGTTACCAATTCTAAGCTCCTTAAGGAAGGCAATGTCCATCCCTTCATTCATCTCCATAAGCTGATCCCCTACTGAGAATCACAGCACCCAATCAATATGTACAGAACTTTTGTTCTGCAGCTGAATGAACCAGCAATGAAATGGCTTGTCTTTAAGAGCCTGCCTTAAATCAAAAGAAACTTTTTCTCTGCTAGTAAACACGCTGCATTCGAAACATAAAGTATCTATAAACATTGGGCAGAAAGGGGTGATTTTGACACTCTATACACGTAGGCTTTTTCTTCACGCAAACATTTTAATCCTCCATAGCTGTCCCTCCTTGACTGCAAACCGTGTAGCTGATTTACGTTTGCAGGTTTGGGCTTCTCTTTTCAAAACCACTTCTGACAGGCTTTGCTTTCTTCTCCTGGAAATTTCTGGTTCCTGATATTCACAAACCAAGTCACCCTCAAGTGGCCTCATTCAAGCGTTGACCTTCTCTTTGCTCATCATGCAAAAGGTGTCCTGTTCGCTTTCTCTCCACTGTCCTTGTCACTCCTCTTTCTTGTTCTCATTAAAGCTATTTACTCAATTTACTGGGCTCAGCAGTTCACAGGGCAGCCTGAAGACCCTCTTCGGGTCTCCCTGATCTTCAAGACCACTCCTGTGTCTACTGATTTCTAGCGCTTGACCTGATACTGCTGGTGGTATTTACCGCAAGTACTGTCATCTCCACGTCTAGTTAATTTTAATGTTGCAAAGAGTTAAAAAGTCAAAACCTAATTCAGAGATGTTACTCTTTTAAAAATCTAACTGGATTTTTTTTTCTTTTTCTTCACTGCAGATGCACAAAGTTTAGCATTGGCTCGAAATGCCACTTTGAAGGCACCATCTTTTTGCATAGACAGAAACCTGTTCTCATTTATTTCTGACATCCTTCTAACGACTCCCTCCCTAAGGGAAACATCTCTGTTTATCCCAAAATATCTCTTTATTCAAAGAGTTTGTCAACTACACTTTCAATGTTATCAACTAAACTGTTGGAGAGGTCTGGTGGCCTAGTGATAAACAATTGTGCTGTAATCCCAAAGGCACGAGATTCTAATCCACAAGCTACTTCTCAGGAAGATGGGCAATCTACTCACGACTTATTGCCTCTGAAAGGCCACTGGAGGGCCAGCTGTGGGGCAGTTCCAACTCAATGGCACCCAACAGCAGCTGTCATAATGGTATTTCACTGGAGCCTGGCTTTAGTTTCTTGAGTCAGAGAATCAATAGTCACGATGGTTCAGGAGTCAGAAGATTTTAGAGTTTTCCTGGCAAGGCTAATATTTCCCCAATCAGTTCACAGTTTGAGTAGTAGAAATAGTGTTTTGATTGCTCAAAGTGAAACGGAGTCCCCCTGGGCCTGTCCTCTGAGGGGACCCGTGTTGATAGGACTCAGGGCTAAAGGAACAAGCTATCCTGACATGTAAGGTTGATTTGGTGTCCTCACACAGATAAAGCTAAAGAACACACTGTGGTCACTGCCTTCATTCCAAAGTACAAGTCCGTTGACCTTGCTGGCCAAGAACTCACCAACTTCTTCATCCTTTCAGTCTCAGCCACACCATCCTCCTCCTGAGATGTACCGGAGGGTAAAGCCTTGCTCACAGGGAGTGTTCCTTTCTCCTGAGCTAGGTCAGTTGATCTTGCTGGCCAAGAACTCACCAACTTGCTCATCCTTTCAGTTCCCAGATGCATCATCATCCTCCTGAGATGTACCGGAGGACAAAGCCTGCTTGCAGGGAGTGTTCCTTTTCTTCTAGGCTTTGTCATGAATCGTCTTCGTGTGCCATTGATTAGGAACTGACCCATGGCTGGCCTTCCAGAGAGTATTCCAAGACAGTTAACTGCACAGGAGACAGCCCATCCTTCCCTTGAGCAGCTGGGGGATCCCAACCACATGCCTGCAGCACAGCCTCTTACCACTAGATCACCCGAGGTCCCTGATGAATCGAGACGCCATGCAAACACCTCCACTGGCAAGTTAAGATGTTCTGGCCCTGCACTGAGGGCAGTATGGCCATCAAGAACAAACCACAGACACAGTCAGGACTCTGCCACAACCAATATTAAGAAAACCCATGCCCCCTTATTTGCATGGAAAAAAATCCTTGTTGTTGTTGTTGTTATGTGCCATCGAGTTGCTTGAGACTCATAGCAACCCTATGTACAAGAGCTCTATACACTCTTCTATCCTGGGCCAACCTAGACATCTCAAATGCACTTATTCCCACCTCTCTAGTCACAGAATCGATCCATCTCATCAAAGGTCTTCCTCTTCTTCGCCGCCCCTCCACTCTACCAAACATGATGTCCCTCTCCAAGGACCAGTACCTCCTTGTAACATGCCCAAAATATGTCAGACGAAGCTTCAGAATCCCTGACTCCAGGGAACATTCTGGCTTCACCCTCTCCAGGACAAACCTGTTTGTTCTCCTAGCAGTCCATGGTATATTCAACACTCTTCTGTAGCACCACAGCTCAAAGGCATCAATTCTCTTTCTATCAACCCTAGTCACTGTCCAACTCTGATGAAAACATTAATATTTCTCTTCTTTCCACTATAACTGATTTTTTGTTAATCACTACTTTCTCTTATTAGAAGAATTCTCTGTGTATGTACACACCATGTAGTACAAATATTTTTTCACATGTCTGCCCAGTCAATGCCTAGGAATACCTTCAAGGAAGTGACCACTTCTTGCTGATCTTTACAAATCTAGCACTTAATCAAGTGACCAACCTATAGTAGGTGCTCAGTCATTGCGCGTGGAATGAGGAGAGATAAGATGGAAAGATACTGACTCAAGCTTACCTACTAGAATTCACTTTATTTTCTCAAAGGGCAAATA